CAACTTGGGGCCGTTACCCCTTGTTCTATCACTAGCTATGAGTAAGAAGAGACTGACCCACCTCGCTACAACCTCCTTTCAGGTAGTTGTAGAGGGTGATAAGGTCTCACCTCAGTCTCCTTTTCTCAAGACTAAAAAAACCACAACAGCAAAACAGGCAAGATGTTTTATTACACATCTGTATACTTCCTCATTATAAGAAAGCAAATTAAAGTGATTGTAAACCTCATCACTCATGGAGTTGCACATGGATTTCCTTGTAAATTCTACTCTTCAGAACAGGTCTCAGTCTGGTTTTATTCCCAGTCACCTCAGAACATAAGATCATCCAAAAATCCTCCCGCCTGTGAGATTTTTTTCCCCCCTCCAAAAAAAAATATTCACAATCTTTGAGCAGAATGAACCATCTTTACCATCATCAATATAATTTCTAGCCATATGCCAGCACCTCCACACTCATGTCCCAGCCAAGACTCTAACCTCCTGTCCACTGGGAACAGCGTACAAGCAGACTGAGTACACACTGTAAAGAGAAATTGTGGGATTAAGAACAACCAGTCCTTTGGCCTTTGAGAAAAACAGTCTGCATTATGGCAGACTGATTACATGATGACACAGTATTTTTTCCGGGTAACACTGCCTTGCTGTTTGTATCCATAACAAATAGGATGACAACACTCAGAGAAGGAAGCAGGGCTATGCTTAATGAAGCTGCTATCTGCAGAACCTGGTTTCACTTGTTGAAGATGCTGGATTTACAGTGAACACAAAGAAAGGGAAAAGACAACCTAGTGACGGAGAGTTCTGAATGTCACCTTAGAGAATTAAATCACCCCATAACTTTGCCGCACAGCTTCTACTTGATTCTAGACAATCAGCTGTTCCACATTTACTAAGCTAGTCAGTATTCCACAACTTCTCTCCACACAAACACAGTCTGAAACAGCAGGGGTCTTGCATGAAGGAACTCGGCTTCAAACAGTGTCAACTAGATAAAATTCTAGTACCCATCCCTCCAAGTCATAGGTATGAAAAGTGAAACTAGGCATACAAAAGTAAATGTTTAGCATCAGTATCCATAAAATCCATAAGATTACAATATCAGTATAAGGATATTAACAAAGAAATTTATTTTCTTTTGTAATGTAGCCAGACATTACTGTCTGTGAGAAAACAAAAAACGTCAAAATAAATCTGGGTTTTAACTGCAAGTGAAAAAGGGGACACAAAAAGTATGTTTAGAACAACTTGGGTAACAAAGTGTATCATAGCTGTTCATATACATCCTGTGTTCCAAATGCTGGGTACAATACTATACCTTATTTTCTTAAGTGTTTGTCCAAAAAAAAAAAGACAAAAATTACCTTAGAAGAGTATTAAAAGTGAAAACCCTAGAGTTTATATAGGAAGTCAGAAAAATTTCAATCTGCGAATATGCAACATACGACCCCATATAGGATACTCTGGAAGAAACTGCCACTTGGACTAACACACCAAACACTTGTAATAGCCTGGTCCGTTATACTGGAGGGGTCATCTTTGGAGATATAGCCACCAAACCTTCAAATCTCTGAATGCAGAAGCATTTTCAAAACCTCTTAATTGATTATTATCAGGTTTTCAAGAACAGTGATTCAACAAGGGACACCCATCCATCTAGTCTAAAGTCCTAGCTTGAGGGAGATGATTCCGATTTGTTTTTAAAGAAGCACGGGATGAAAAGGCCAGTGGAACAAGAAAGCTTTCTTAATCTTATTTTAGGGCTTTAAGCAACCTGGTCTAGTGGGAGGTGTCCCTGCCCATGGCAGGGTGGTTGGACTGGATGATCTTTAAGGTCCCTTTCAACCCAAACCATTCTGTGATTCTATTTTAGGAAGTACATGACCAATCTCTGCAGAAGTTTCCCAGCGAAAGATAGTGTGTCAAGTGTGAGACAGACAAATCCTGGAAAATTCCAGCCCAAATGGCTCAAGCTGTTAGTCAGCAGGGGCTGAAAATAAAATCTTTCATTTTAAAGTGACTTGACTCCCTTCAACACATACAATAAAAAACAGAAAACAGCAAGATAATAACTTACACATTCTCACACTATCTTCTCAGGTATAACAAACATTTCCACAGTAACAACAGCAGCTTCACATAAACACTGATTTCTAGTTGGTGGGGAAAAAAGTAGAAGCATTATTCAGACAAATACAGTTTTCATGCATACAATAAGGGGAGTGGGGGAGACCAAACAATTGAAACAACAGAAAAACACTAATGGAATACATTGAATTATTCCAATATCTTTTCAAGGTCTCCATGAGACATCAAACAGCTTTTCTTCATCAGCAGTCCATGAACTTGAAATGGTATCATATTTTTTACACTTTCTTCATCCCTCTTTCATTTCACCAATTTCTTACTCTAAGATTTCACCCGCTACCCACAAGTCTGTGTCCAATTTAAATAGCTCAGGAACTACTATAGATTTCAGATAGCTCTTCTAGATCATCTGCAGGCAGGTCAGACATGTACTTTTAGTGGCGTGGGGCACACAGACACATTCACAATTCGGGGTACTAGAATGCATTTGTGGGTTACTACTACTTACTCTAGGTAGTTCTTTCTAATATCTAGCAGGCCATACCCTAATTTCTATGCATTTCACAACGTATTCTATTTATCCGTTCTTTAAAGAAAGATAAATTTGAACTCCATATTAAATGAGGAAAAGGCCTAGTTCTGTTCTGTTTAGAAACATTTCTGAACGGCTGCTAAGCAGTGGAAAGAATGAACAGAATTCCAGTAATTTCCCCCTCAGATTTTTCTGAAATTATATCTAGCCAGGTTCCAAATATTAAACAGCATGTTTCATATTTACTTTGGAAAGTTTTCATCCTTATTTGTTTTTTTAGCACATCAACGATTTTTCTCTTGTCCATGTCACTGCCTTGATTCGAATTACTGTCTTCTATCCACTTTACTTTTCAACCAGTTTGAGACTTTCAACACTGCTACTCTTATATTCGCATGCAAGGCTGAATTGAAATACAGATTAAGGAAGTCCACAAAGTATCTTCAGATTGCCGAAAATGCTCTTAAATATTTTCCTATACTACTATTTTTACTAGGCTCTCCTTATAATACAGAAGTTAGAGCAGGAGATAAAAAAACCCCAACAAAACACAAATCAAACAAAAATAAAGATAGAGGACTTTCTAAAAATCTTTACTTTGAGCAAAACTGTATTATATATGTGTCATTCTGGATTCTGAGCAATTACAAAATATCTTTGAAGTTAACAATAGGCAATTCATAAATTTTTAACCAAAATCATATATAAAAGACACAGATTTAAAAAGATGAGGTTGTAAGAACATTTTAACTTAAAGAAATGTTAGTTTTTGCCTTGGAAATGGTTTGACATAGAGTCCTGATTTCTAAAATAGTGCATTCAGATTACCTGACCCAAAAAGAAAATGAAGAAAAGAAGCTGAAAACATGCAAACAAGTTCCATTATTCCTTCTCAAAATTTAATTTCATAACATTTCCTTAATAGGTTCTCAAAAGTGTGACTGTATAATAGAAGTGATATCTTTATGATTTTCTGAATAATGGGTTTTATTAGTATTAAGTTAAAGCAAACAGCCAAGAACAATACATACGCAACTTCTACTACACACAGTATAAAGAATGTAAATTATAACCTCTGTAAAACAAAAGAAAAGGTACTGAAGAAGCCAACACAGTGGTTATGGGCTATTCCATCCCCGATAACAGGCTGGGTTCTGTGTTTAGAGAACAGTTGTTTGCTTATTTGAACTGAAATAGGGTGAAATATATGATCAAGTATAAAGAAAAAGTTAATGGAGTTACATGGATTCTATGAGAACAAACTCTAGATTAGTAAGGAAAAAAAAAGATAGTTCACCTAGTAAAAGAGATTACAAGCGGGCTGAGGTTTCAATTTTTAGTGGTGAGGGACAACGGGAGAAATTACCCAGGATTTTTGTAACAATTTGTTTAATAATACACCACTTTCATAACAGAAGTGTTTTACACTTGCACAATGTTAATAACTTTATTATACATGGAAGCCTGTAATAGGCTGATTACACAATAAGACTGCAAACAACCACTGGTACTTTCCTGACACCAGAAAAGTACGTAAGACTGAAACATCACCAAGAGTACATAAAAAACCATCAGCATAAACATCACCAAAATTACATTAAAAAACTAATCAAAAAATACATTTGCAAAAAGTGGTTTAGAACAGTGCCACTGCCTTTCAGCAGCTTTGAATGGCCACCAGTATTTCTAGCAGGTTTCCGTGGCTCCACAGGCATTAATTAGGATTCACATATAATAAATAATGTACCACAAAATATACATAAAGTAAGGCAATAATTCCAAAGAAAAGTTCTGTTGATATTAACAAGCCACTCAAGTTCTACTTTTGTAGTCGAGGTCATCACCAGAAGCCTTTGATGGAATTGCAGCCTTAGGCCCTAAAAGCCTGCAACGATGAACTGCTGCAAACCCCTGTATCCGTCAAGAGCTCCAGTGACACCACTGGTGCACTACTGGGCACAGGGATCCATGTCAGCTGATCCTGATGCAGGATAGGGGCCTTCGTATGTACAATTGGGAGTATATTATTTCTTATCTCTTACATGGAAACCTTGACATGATTCTAAAACATGTGGGTGTTTACTGTTCATAATCTGATGTCATAAGACATCAGAAAGCACATAATAAGATATGCACTTTCTGGAATGTAAATCTTTTTAAATTCTAGCTATTAAGACAAGGTGAGGGAATGAGCAGGGAAGAAGGGGAAGAAAAGGTGTAAATTAAGGAGGGGAAAAAACCCAAGATCGAGTCCGGAAGAACAACAAAAGAGAGGGAACCTCATACACTAAAAGAATATGGAAAGGGGGAAGAGCAAGAGATTGACTTTTTTGAACCACGTATAATAAATAATGTATCCCAAAAGCATAGCTGGATTACGACTGTAGTTTCAAGTCAGGGTTCTAACAACATGAACCGGACGCGCATGCTTTGTTCTCACCGTTTGTGTCAACAGAACCTCTTTACGGAATTACAGTCTTACACATGAGTTCTGGGGACATTATTGTTTGTATTAAAGCTACCATTCTGGGCTCTTAGTACAGACCCAAGAATATCTGCTCCACCTGCCTGGAATGAGCATCACCTGGAAGAACCGGAATACTTCAAAAATGACGAGATTTAGGTAGCAAATTTCTTTCAGATCAGCCCAAACACAAGAGACAGCAAATTTGAAATGTCATAGATCCCTTCCTCAATAAGCTGAGATATATTTGTCACTATCTGTAAATCGGAAGTTCCAGTACACTAGTGGTGCATAGAATTCCCATGCTTCGTTACACTTTCCTGAGAGTAAAGCAATTAGAATAAACCTTAGTCCTAGGAACAAAGTTAATTTTTTGCATTTTAAACTTTTGGGCTATTCCCTGACAATCTATATAATGTAAATTTGATTGCTAAACATTGTCACTTGAACAAAAACGCTATTTTAATCTATTGATTTTTGATTAAAAACCATAATAAACAGATCTAAAAAAAAAAAATCACACTAACAAAATAAAACTAAATATGAAAAGTTGCATTGAAAGGGCATGTTACATTATTAATAGGACCGTGTAGAAACATTCCAATGGCAGTGTTGTCAAAGTAAAATAAAATTACGTTAAGAAAACCCCATAGCCTGGTTGCAGTCAAGACCTTACCTGTAACTCTGGCTGGTTGGGGTTTTTACTCGTGTACTACATGGCTCACTTACATCAGACATCATATTTGTATACCCTGAGAAATCTGACACTGAAGTCCTTACTCTATGGTCCACTTCTCCATTAGAGTTAGCGATAAAAGTCATTGGCACCCTGCTGCCCGACTTAAACTGAGAACCAAACGCTTGTGCAAAGTTCTCGATCTGGTAGGTTGCTCTAGGCTCTATGTCCTTCTGAGGATCTATCTGGCTAGTTAACTCCTGAGACGGGATCTGAAAGCTCGTTGAGGATTCTAAGTTTTTCTGTTCCTTCTGGCCAGTCAGTTTCTGAGATGTCGACTGGTAGTTAGATGAAGTCTCCAAGTTTTTCTGCGGATCAATGAGATCATCCAGCTCTTGAGAAGGAGTCAACTGTTGATGCGTAGCCTCCAAAGCAGACAAATAAAAGCCTGGCTGAGATCCAAGCAACATCCCAAATGGAGGTTTTGGCAACGCAGTTGGCAATACTGAGGTAACTGATTGGCTGAAGCCACACTCAAGTGGAGATGTAGTGTATATCTGTTTGTCTTGAAACAGTGTGTGGTTATGGAGAGTTGAAGACAAGCTAACAAATTGGAAGCTGGGTCCAAAAGCAAAACCAGTGCTGTTAGTTGTTCTTTCAAAGGCTTGTTGGAGGTATTTGGAGTATTCTTGCAACATACTTGCCTTATCATTTGAAACTGTTTGAGAGTTAGGGCTCAAGTTCTCTTCCTGAACCATCTCTGAATGTTCTCCTGAGCTGTGCAAGTCCACACGCTGTTCAGTTATACTGAAAGGATCATCTTTCTGGCCTTCCGATTTGTGGGAGTACTGGTCCAAAAGGCTCTGTAAGACTTCATCAGGAATACCAGACTTGTCGTGGCAAGACTTTATTTCACTATTTAAAGATGCTGAATCAATAAGAGATAATGGAGCTTCGTTATCCATAACACTAACACCTGCAGACTGGATGACGGACTGCTGGGAAGTCATGTGTCCGACATTAATTGAAAAGGCACTGTTACTGCTTGCAGTTTGTAGGTATCTTCTTTTCTTTGAAAACTGCATGGCATCATCATAATTGCTACTTATTTGACCTGGTTTACCACCTGTACTTTGGAGAAGGCCAATAGTTTCTACACCAGTATTGGCTACTAGGCCTAGAGAGCCACTCTGTTTCCCGGACAGTGGTTTTTGCCCCAAGATATCTGGCAGTGGTGATACAAAATTAAGGTAATTTTTGTCTGCCTGTTTTCTGCTTCCTTTTTTCAAGATCAATTTTGGCACCTTTTTCTGAAGTTCTTCTACACCCGTGCCAACTAGACCACCACTGGAAGACACAATAGGAATATCAACTGCGTAATTTGGCATAGCCACATTACTTGCAACTTGAGATTCAGCTACTTTGCTGCTACACTTATTTCCTTTGTTTTCAGTGGATATACTTTTTGTTTTACTTTTTCTCCTTGAGGAACTTGTATTTCCCTGAGATAATGCAGCCAAGCTACCCATGTTATTTGATGACCCGGGCTCCATTCCAGCACCTGCTTTACCTATGGCTTCACCACATGTTCTTCTGTGCTTCAACAGTCTATCAGTCCTTGAAAAATACTGCTGACAAGTGTCACATTTGTATGGCTTTTCTCCACTATGCGTCCTCTTGTGTCTTTCCATGTGGTACTTCTGGATGAATTTCATGCTACACTGGTCACACCCAAAAGGTTTCTCCCTACTGTGGATCTTCTCATGTCTCTGCAGTAGGTACTTCTGGATGAAACCCATGCTGCACTGGCTGCACTGGAAAGGCCTCTCCCCTGTGTGAATGAGCACATGTCTGCGCAAGTGATAGGAGCTCCTGAAGGCAGCGCTGCAGTGTTCGCAGACATGAGGTTTCTGACTGGGGGATGCAATGGCACCTTCCGCATCTCCCACCAGGGGGGGTTTGGATGAAGCGCTTGGCTTCCGCTTGGCTTTGATTCCCTGAGTTTCTGGCTTTGGCCTCTTTGCCTTCTTGACCTGGGCATCATGCTTTGGCTCACCCGAGCTCCCAGGGGCGCCTTCGCCTCTGCCACTCAGTAACAGGTCTCGGTGGGGATGCTGGTGCAGGTGGTGAAGAAGGCTGAGGTCCTGAATCACACTCTGGCTGGTCCCTTCCCCGCTGCTGCTCCCCAGGCCAGGGGACCTCTCCTCTGTTGCTCCCCCAAAGAGCCCTCCGTAGTGGTGGTGGTGCTGTGGCTGCTGCTGCTCCTCCTCCTCCTGCTCGCTAGGCTTCTCTTGCTTGATGCTCACCAGGGACTGCAGAAAGCCCCAGGGGCTC